ACCATTTTTCATTAACAAATTGGCAAAGAATTTTTTATGGTTAATACTTGTTGAGAAGAAAGTAGAAAAACAGATCTACTTATTTGTGGCTGGAGAGAGTGTGAACAGAGGGCCTCTGGGAGGGCAGGTGGACCACACAGGTGAGAACGTGAAGAGCTGGCAGGCCCTCCGACCGACTAGCTTCATGGACCCAAAAGCGCCCATCTAAGCGCTGTTTGGTTTAGCAAGAAGGCGGAAAGCCATCCAAATGTTAAAAAACAGGGGTTGGATCGATAAATGATGAGACCCCTTGCTAAAATGATGTTGGAGAAATAAATTTCGTACGAAGTGAACAAGAATATAAAGCAGTGTGTGAGGAACAGTCTCGTGCTTGCGAGTTTAGCTATTGAGAAAGGTCTGTAAAGACAGGAAAGTTCTGATGAGCTGTCCTCAGTGGAGGGGCAGAGGGTGTTTATGCCTGTCTGAATATGTATTCCGAAATTTTTACTAACCAATGCTGCTTTTGCATGACAATAAGAAAGGGCTGAATTTCCGGGGCACATGTTTTCAAAGCTCAGCCTTGCCTGCCTGATGCCTCCGTGGATGTGCCTTGACTCTCCAGCACCTGCCTGGCCCACAGGCATCCTTCCCCTCCCCGTGGCTGTGAAGCAGGGAAGGCATCTCCCCTGAAGGTCGTCCTCTCCCGCCGTACCTCCCCACCCAATGCCATCTCTAAACTCTGCCAGTGTTTCCTGTCTCTGTCCCATGCACTCCTCAGCTCCCTGTCACCCGGTTTCTGTCCCCTCCACACCCTGCCAAGGCCACCAGTGACCTCCTGGTTGCCAGATCCTTGGGCCAGCACTGGCTGCCGTCGCCCACCCCTCACTGCCCTCCACCTTCCCTGGGCTGCAGGATGGCTTCCTCTTCTGGGCCCCTTTGTTCTCTCTGGGGCTTCTCTTCCTTCTCCCCTCCATCAACGTCTTCACCCTTGGTCCCCGCCCCGCAGCCCTGGTCTGGCTTCCTCCCCCCTCCCCCTTTCCTTGGGAATCCCCTCCATCCATTCCCATGGCTCTGCTGCCATCTTCAGAGCCCTTTCCAGCCCCCCACCTCCCTCCTGTCCCCCAGACCCATCAGTCCTCCCGCCTGGATGTCCAGCTGCCCTCAGGCTCCCCTGGCCTAACCTGACCTCATCCTTTCATCCCTCATCTAGCCCCCTTTTTGGATTCCTGGGCCACCGTCCTCCTATTCTCCAGGCCTCCCAGGGTTGGAGACCCCCTGCTTCCCCATCCCTCCCCCAACCATCACCAGATCTGGCAGATCCTAAATGCCCCTCCTGTCCGTTTCCTGCCGTCCCCGCCACTCCCCTGCTCCAGGTCTCACCTCCCCTTCCTCCAACAGCCTCCGAACCCTCTCCCTGCCTCCAGCCTCACCTCTCACCATGCCATCTGCACACACACATCCATCTCTTGCCCGTCTCCGGGGAACAGTCATGCCTCACACCCCACCAGAGGGATTTTTCTCTAACACAACCAGCATCAAAGGTCACGATTCAAGACCCTTACAGACTCTCCACAGCTTCCAGGGTAGAAGCAAACTGTAGCACGGCCAAGGCCTTTGTGACACCTTCCAGAATGACCCCGAGCAGCCCCATTCGGGCACATCTAGCCCTGCACCTTGGCTCCTGTCCTGAGCATGGCAGATGCATCCCCTCCTCCAGGCTCTGGGACCTTCTGGAAACCATTGGAAGGTCTGTCTCCTTTAACCCTCGTCTGCAGTCTCCATTTCTACTTACCCTCCTCATCTATTTCTCCCTCTTTCTGTCATCGGTGGTCCTTGCTGACAGCCCATTTTCCTTGTGCCCCCCTCCCAGCTACACATCTGCCCTCCCCTTCTGTCGGTGGGGGCTCCTTGAAGCCAGGGGCCCCAGCACCTACCCCAGTGCCCGGCACATCAAAGCCCCTCTGTCAATGTTGTGAATGAAAAATGAGAGAACGGCTTTCATTCTACACACTGGACCCAAAATAATAAAACCAGACTTTCTTCCGCATGACAGCCTTTCAACTATTTGAAATCAGGTCACTTGCCCCCCGAGTCTTCTTTTCCCCAAGGAAAAGAGCCTCAGCTCCTTCCATTCTTCCTGGCGGGAGAGGGGGTTCGGCCTGGGAGGGCCCAGCTTTCTGTACCCCCCTCTTCTCTGCCCAGAACTGACCAAGGTCACCAGAGGTCCCCTGACCAGGCACGCCACCAAGGAAGGTCAGGGAAATAGAGATTCATGCTCTGGAGGACAAGACAGTGATGGTCTTAGAGCCCTTCTTCCTATTAGAGGGAAAGGTGATAGAGGAGGACACGGGCCAAGGGTAAGGAGATGCTTTGGAATAGGCATCTTCTCTCCATGGCAACGTGGGAGCCTGCTGCCTGGATGATAGTGCTGGCCTGGGGGTGTCGGGGCCGACCGAGGGCTTACTCTGGGCTCCACGTTTCTCCGTGCCGGGGGAGTAGGGGATTTTACTGACTTCTTTCTCTGCCTCGGCACCTTATGTGTAAAGGGGAGGCGGGTGGGGGCGCTCTTGCCTCCGCGTGGGGTACATGGAAGGGGAGTAGCAGTGCTGTCCTAGATCTCAAGGCAATTTGCAAATGACCATTCTTTGTCTTGTTAACATCAAAGAACTCAGCTTGGGAAATGTTCTCTGCTCATTTGATAATGACTGAGCCCTTCCAAACCATGTGGCCACCCAGGCCCTCTGCACAGCCCTGGGAACCCCAGAGCAGGTGACGGTCCTGAGGAAGGAATTCCTTCACAGGTGCATGGTAGAAAAACAGGAAGTGCGGAATTCCCCCACCGCTCAGAGCGCTCAAGTTCAGGGAGCAATCCATAGCGTTCCCATTCAATGGAATGGTGCGGCCAGGTTTTCAGAACAACTTTAAATAAGGTGCGAGAAATAAGACTGCTGCTTTCAAAGTTATCCCAAACTAATAAGATGCCTGTGTTTCAAGTCCATCTATGTAGCTTGCTTTGTTAAAAGCGGAAAGAGAAAAGGAATGCTGGAATACTTGGTACTCACATCTGCAATTTCCATTAAGAACAGCTGGATCTAGAGAAAAGAGGCACACAAATAAGAGCCATGGAAGATCCAGTGTTTGCCAGATGGACACAGGAGAGGCCGGCCTGCTGCCTCGGTGAGCGCACGAGTTAGCCTGAGACAGGAGGCAGCTGTTTATGCGAAAACTGTGTTTCCATTGGTTTCCGTTCTAAAGCTAGGATTTTCAAGAGGGATTGAAAAGAATAAGAGTTTTGCCTTTGTTATTACAACGTATCTTTGTCCAGAGAAGCTGAAAACCTTTTATGTAAAGTATCTCATTTTCTTATTTTCTTTGGGGGCTGGAAGTAGGGAAGCTTTTGACTTAAACCCCAAATAGCTTTTAGTGGCACAATGGTTCGTTGGAGCCTGCCCCTCTGACACTTGAGTGGGCCCCTCTGACTGCAGTGGGCAAGACAGCTGGAAAGGAGTTGGGGGTTAAAGTCAGGAGCTGAGAGAATGGATGCACTGATGTGGTTGAAAGAGATTAGGAGGGGGGATGGACAGACTTGAGGATGGTTAGATGTGGGAGGTGGGGCCAGGGAGGATGCTCCAGCATCTGGCTGGAGGAAGTGAGAGGAACCGAGGACATGGCCATGCCTCCAGCACAGACCCGGCAGCCATCAATCAGCCTGGCCTCGCAGCCTGCTTCTGCCACTTTCTAGCTGTGCGACCTTGGACAGGTCATGTAGTGTCTTTGAGCCTCGGTTTCTCCATCTGTAAACAGGGATGATAATAATGCTACCTGCTACATAAGGGCTGTAGTGAGCTCAAATGAGTTATCACAGGTGACATCCTCCAAGCAGAGGAATTGCTGGTCTGTGCTGGCCGTACTCTTGCGTGTGATGCCCTGTACAACGCGTGTGGCCCGGGCCTGTCTCGCTCACTATTTTCATTGCTCCACGCCAAGCTGCCTCGGGTTCTGGGACTGAAACTTGTGATTCTGAATTCTTAAACTCTGTGGCTCAGGGCCTAAAGAATAACGCTGACCAAAGAGTGGTTGTCTGGTACCGTTTCCTCTCTGAACGTCCTGGCATCCTGGCGTGTGTGGGACTGGAATACAGCCAGCCCGGGGGTCGGACTGGCACGGGGATCAAGCTGAATCCACTTTTGTCTTTGAACGTGCATAATCTGCTTCCCTTGGTACGTAGTGCTGGTGGAAACAGACTCAGCCAGTGTTCCCGGTGATTTTTCCATCATTTATTAAATGTCTGCCTTGGTTTAGGAATCATATCTGCTGCCTTAATGATGTTTAAAGAAATATAAAAATAGGAGTACGTAACACTGTATTCGCTGTGGCTGAAGACAGCTTTTATCTGGCACCATTTTGCACAAAGCACAAATTGTTGCAAAAATACCCGAACTCTGCTCTCATGGGGGCGCTTTGAAGAGATTGTCAGGTGTGTGGCAATTATTCATGGGCCCACGGTAAGTCCCAGCGCTGTCACGAAGCCCCCGCTCGCCCTGGAGGGGCTCAGAGCCACCTTCCAGACGAAACCACGGCGGCAAAGGCGCAGCCACACGGAGACGAACAAACGGCATCACGGGGGCCCTGGTACTAAATCAGCTTTTCTCGAGCAAACTTGAATCAACCTGGGAGCGGGGCGTAGGCTGTAATTAAAACTCCTGGCCCAATTCCCTTCGTTTGCAGCAGAAAACTATTGGCTTATTTCAAGCCAAACTGAGTCGAGGCTCGGGGTCCTGGAGCAGAACGCACAGACCCCCAGCGCATCCTGACCACAGGTGGGAGAGGGCCGGGCAGCGCCCCCATCCCGCGGTGAAGGAGGCTACAGGCCGCATGCGCAGTGCAGCCCCGCGAGCCCCCCACCCCCTCGCCCGCCGTCCCCGAGCCAGCACAGCGGGCCGCCGAGTCCTGCTGTTGCCGGGGGTCAAGTGTGCACCCCAGAGGGAAATGCATTTACAACCCACCATTTCTCCTCGCAGGTGGCCCGCCAGCTCCAGCCCTCCGTGGTGTGGATTGGAGACACCGAGAAAACCTTCTACAAAAAAGTCCCCAACGCCGAAAGGAAGGTGAGGTCTTCTCATTTCTTAACGTGGCCCTTTCCCTCCTCCAAAGGGGCCCCGTACCAGGGACTACCTCGATTTTTCAAGACAGTCTTGCTTTTTCAAGGGAGGAAGGAAACGGAGGGGCAGCCGTCTCTCTGCCCTAAGCACTTGTCTGCATTTGAAAGGATCCAGTGTCTGATTTTACGAGGCAAAATTTAGAAGAAATGAAAAAAAGTACGGAAAAGGGGGGAGGGGAGCGTCAAACCCAAACCTACCGATTCAGGGGTAAGCAACAATTGAGAGAACTCTGCTCAGTTACAGCAAATGGCACACATAGGAGTTATTATTAGGATTTCCTATTGTTCATTATAATAAATAGCAAAAGGCCTGCAATTTATGAACAAAGACCGTCCATAGAACTGCCAAGCGCCCCACATTGGGTGTCCCCGGGGAGTCTTCTGTCAATTGCTTCCTTCCTCCTTTTCTCTCCTTTCAATGGCTCCCCTCCCCCGCACTTCCCCCGGCAAATCACCAGCAAATTTCCCACAAGTTAAAAAAAATTTGCAGATACACATGATTGTTATTCCACATCAATTTGCACCAAAGCAAATAGTGGTTAACTGTGAATTTCTGATTAAATTCATAAGGATTTTAATCACTTTTGCTCCTTATGTATTATACATCATTTTGAGCAGGTAGAGATGATTTGGATAGAGAATGAAAGCTGAATCTTTTCTTCCCTAAATGAGCCTTGATTGCCCTGTCATTTTAGAAACTCTTAAGAGGACTTATTTATTATTTAATCTGGGAATCTGGTAGGTAGCTCCCTCTGCTGGCAAAGTTGCTACGTTAAAAAAACAGTCCACATACAGTAAAGCAACTCTATACTCCAATGAAAATTAATTTAAAAAAATAACAAAATAGGGCTTCCCTGGTGGCACAGTGGTTGGGAGTCCGCCCGCCGATGCAGGGGACACGGGTTCGTGCCCCGGTCCGGGAAGATCCCACGTGCCGCGGAGCGGCTGGGCCCGTGAGCCATGGCCGCTGAGCCTGCGCGTCCGGAGCCTGTTGCTCCGCAACGGGAGAGGCCACAACAGTGAGAGGCCCGCGTACCGCAAAATAAAATAACAAATAACAAAATAAGATAAATCCTTTAAAAGGCCACATACATGCGAACTTGAAGGCAGCAGTTACTACAGTAAATCTAAAGAGAGATGCGAGGCGGCGTTGAATCCAGGTGTCGCACACTTCACGTCACCAGAAGCCTTGTCTCATGAATGGGCAAGGGCTCTCGCACTGGACACCAGCCTGGAGAATGGGAATTCAGGAGACGGATGTTCCCGGCCTGCTTTACCCTTCACCTTACTTGGCTGTGTGTCCCTGAGCAAGTAATTTAACCTCTCTGAGCCTCCACTTCCTTAAGTATCTAATTAAAGGGCTCCAGAGAGAACAGCCTCTGAGTTTGTGAAGCCCCTCTCGAATTCTCTCCCATGAGCCCCTCGAGCTGTCGGTTTGTCGCCAACAATTACGTCTGCTCGTCTGTACCCCTCCGCGGGTCGAGAGTAAGAGGAATGGACACACCCGTTTGAGAGAGCCAGAGGGGCCCTGGAGGAAGGGCTGGCGGGCTCTGAGGGAGCGTCAGGCAGGAGACGAGATGTGAGTTGAGTAGATGCCCCCACTAAGGGGAGTCACTGTGAAAGAGCGGGGAGCCGGCAAAGGAGAGTCTCCAGACCCTCCCCTGAATAGGCCCTTCCTTGCTGACCCCGAGGTGTTCTCTCCAGCACAACCTCTGATTCCCAAAAATACAGTCACTGACTAGTCTTAACTCCTGCAGAAAATGAAGGCCTTTGGTGGCACAGTCTTCGTTGTGGACAAATCGGACATTTATTCTGTCCACCTCTGCATTAGAAGAGTCTGTCGTCCATCCGAGGAACTAACTGCACTGAGGACTGAATCACAACCTGGGAAAACCCCAGGATGCCTGATGAATACAAGCAGAAGGGTCCCTGGGTCCCCAAATGTCCAGAGGCCGGCTGGGGACCTGAGTCAGCCCAGGCACAGACAGAGCTGCAAGGGGCATGCCCACCCCTGCAGCAGTGCAGCGGCCCCAGTTCCAGTGCCCCGGCCAGGGGAAAGCACGGTGGGCAGAGAACCACTGCCTGTGCGCCCTTCAGCTCGGCGTCCTGCGCCTGCCCCTTGCAGAGCAGGGCTGCGGGGCTCCTGCTGCCTTCCTGCCTCCGGCGCCAGCGCTGAGCCAGCTCTCCTCTCCTTCCCACCCCCTCCAGCCTCTGACTCCTGTCCTTATCCGAGTCCCTCGGCCTCCAGGACCTGGGGCAGTCACGAGCATTGGACGTCCATGCTCTGGAGGTGACCACCAGATTCCAAGGGCAGCAGCTGCATCCGCCAAAGAGAGGCACCAGGAGGCAGCGCGACTGGCTCCACATTGCATCACCTGGCCACCCAGGAACCTGGCGTCCTTACCACCACCCAGCCCAGCCTCCATCCCAAAGGTTCCCCCGATCCCCAAGGTGCTGAAACCTAGAGAAGAATGTCCACCTGCAGAGAAACCACCACCTACAGCCACAACACAGAGCACTCCCAGCGTCCGCCCAGGGCACTGGAGGGATTCCAGGAAGCTCTTCGAAAAAAACTCTCACGCACAGTGACTCGCTCCACCCTCGAGGCCTCCACCTCTGGGCTCAGGCCCTTTAGGAGGTACAGTGTGCAGGCTCATGCAGTCATAAGGAGGGAGGCAACGGAGAAGGCCAGGTGGCAGCGATGGCTCGTGGGTGCAGAGCCGGGCACAGGGACCCCTAGGGCTGCTGCAACAGGCAGAGGTCGCCCAGGGGGCACAACGCGTAGGTCACGAAGCTCCTAGCACCCTGGGAGGGAGGCAGCCTTCTCCTGTTTTGCAGGAGAGGACAAAGGCCCAAGAGGGCACACAGCTGGTCAAGTGCAGAGCTCAGACTCAGAGGCAGGACCCCTCACCCTGCCTGGATGCAGCTCCAGTGTCAGCACTGGCTTCCCGTCTGACCCCCCTTGCTTCTGCTACACCTGCGTCCTCCCTCTTGCCCTCTTCAAGCCCCAGGCTACTTTAATCCACAACCTGAAGACTGCCCGTGGGGCCCTCAGGTCTTAGAGGCAAATGTGTCAGGCTCCGGCGTCCCCTGGACCCTGACCAGCCCTGCCCCCCACGTTGTCCTCAACACCCAGCCCCCAGGGACCTGGCAGGTGCCTGGACAGTGCCCTCTCCCTCCGCTCCCAGGAGGAGGGTCCTCCTTTCCACCATCTGAGGCTGGAGCCTTGGTCAGCTGTTGGTGTTTGAGGCGAACACAGTGAGGAATGAGGCAAGACGGGCTGCTGATGCATTTTCTGCTCCGTTACCCTCATGACTCCATCTAGCAGGAGCCCTACCCACGTGACAGTAGGGCCTCCACGAGGGAAGCGCTGGCTGGGTTGGAGCTGGCTGCTGCCGTGGTTTAGTGGAGCTGGCTGCAGAAAAGCAAATGGAAACCGCTGCATGGGTGTTAGACACTAATTTGAAATTGCCCACAATAATAAGGTGGTGTGGGGCTGGCAGGTCCAGCAGTAGGGGCGGCTGAGAAGGTTGCCAGGTGATGGTGAGGATGTTGGCTGACATGATGGATGAGCACGCCAGTCTCATGCATAATGGATGTGGCTCTGAACCGGAACAGGGGTGGCCCAAGTGCAGAAGAGTGTTGGCTGAATGTACTCACCTTTCATTTCCATCCCCTCTTAATGGGACTCGCCATCAGTGAAGATATCACTCTGGACGCGGCCCAGGATCAACATTTGTTATCCAAACAGGCTAATTAAGTTCAGTCATCCCTGCCATTGTCAGGAGACGCAGACAGCAATATCATCTCCTGCCGCAGAACAGGCAGGACTGCACCACTGTCACCATGGCAACCAGGCTGCTGGGGATGGGCTCAGACCTTGCAAGCATGTGTCTGCCCCCACAGAGTAGTAGTCTCCAGTCTCACCAGGTTAACTGTGTGACGTAGGGGTCAGTCCTTCTTCCACCAGTCTTCGGGCAGCTCCACGTGCACCCCACACACGCCCCAGTCGCCCCTACCACCTTGCATTATTCTCCATCAAGCTTCTTAAAAGACTGTTCTCACCATCCCCACTCACTCTTCAACCCACCACTGTCCGCTCGATGCTCTGCAGCTGCATGGAAACTGATCTCACAAATTTCTTTGAAATCCATTTCGCCAGTGGGCCCCAGCTTGTAAAACTCTGTCCTCCCTTAGCCTCCATAGCCTTCTCCTGGTCCCCTCACACCCCGCCAACACTTTCTTCTGTGTCTCCTCCATGCACTTCTCCCCACCCCTTAAATACACTGGTGCTCACTGAGATTCCACCTCAGGCCCACAGACCGTTTTGCTCTCCTCGCCCTCCTTGGGCACCAGCTTAACAAATCACCCCTAAGCCAACGAGTGCCCCCACTCCATCCCCAGCCTGCAGCTCTCCCCTGAGGCTCGGGTGCAATCACCCGGCATCACCCAGGATCACCCATGGGATAGCTCCCCCACAATGCTGCCGACTCAGGCAGGGCCTGCCCAAACTCCTTCTCCATCACCACCTACCACGTGACCCTGCCCCTCCTCCTGCCTTTTCAAAGGGTTACGTTTTTAGTATAACAACTTTTCATAAGAGAGCTTTGGATCCACCCTGGTAAAATGAATTCTGAATATCTCCAGACTCTCCAAGCCTTGTCTAAATGCGGTGGATTTTTTTCCTGGCACAGGTGTAGATATTCCTATGAGGAATATTCTTCCAGAATCTCAGCAGAGGTCTTTCCTCAGTGGCATGAGGCCTAGGAGGCAGCTCCTCAGAGATGAACAATTGACGCCTTATCATCCAGTGCAGTGGAAACTGGGGGAGATTTTTACACCGTCATTTTCAGCTCCATTGGCAATATTGCTAGTTTCCTTCAAATCGTAAAGCCCCCAGTTTTTCTGACTCTCCCCTTTAGAAACCTTCCTCTTCAAGAGAGCAGA